AAAATTGAAAACAAAATTTATCAGAAAGAAAAATTGAAAATTTTTATTAACAACCATTAATGAAATAAATTTTCGCGCGTTTTTTTTTGAAATTTCAATTTTTTTTCAATAAAATAAAAATTTTGAAAGTAAAATTATTTGGATATGATGATGAATTTACATGTGTTTTTTTAAGAATATTGTGTTGTGTACTATTTTTGAGGGTTATATGTAAGGATGTGTTGTAAAATGGTATTTTTAAGCATATATTGATGACATGAAGGATGTTTACGAAGTTTATGACTTTTCAAAGAAGAATTGTGTGCTGTTGCATATTGACAATGATCACATTTGTATGGTTTTTCACCTGTATGTATACGGATATGTGATTGTAAATTACATTGTTGTGTGGTTGAATATTCACATTGTTTACATTTGTATGGTTTGTCACCTGTATGTATACGAGTATGTATTTGTAAAGCATTTTTGAATGAAGTTCCATATGAACATTGATCACATTTGTATGGATTTTCACCTGTATGTATACGAATATGGCTTTTTAAAGAAGATTTGTATACTGTTGCAAATGGACAGTGATCACATTTGTATGGTTTATCACCTGTATGTATACGAATATGGTTTTTTAAATTGCCTTTGTATTTAGTCGCATACCCACAGTGATCACATTTGTATCGTTTATCACCTGAATGCATGCGATGATGTCGATCAGGCAAACATTCATTAACATTATCAGCATCAACATTAACAACATCAATAATATCATCATCATCACTAATTTCGATTGTCATATTCGAAGAATCGTTATTTTTATCCGGTAATGATAAATTTTCTATATTCGATTGATGACCATTATCATTCGAATCATCATCATCAACATTATTCGTTGTAATTCTTGTCGAACATGTTTGTTTTGATGATTCATCATTTGATTCCTCACAGGTAAAATATTCTTCATCATCCTTCTCATTATCATCGGGCAACGAAGTACTATTCGATGACAAATCCATTGGTTGTTGTTGTTCCAAATTATCATTATTGATTGGTTGATTTGTTTGGATTTCAATCAAATTAGATGAAGGATGCTGATGATGACGATGATGTTCGGTGATTTTTACAGAATCTTTCAAATCAAAAAACATCTTTTCCATTCGATCTAATCGTGATAATATTATAGATAGGGTTTTTTTTTCTTCATTATTATCAATATTAACTGGTGTTGTTGTTGATGAAGAATTCATTTTTCCCAATCTTATTGGATTTGATTATTTTTTAAAGTAAAAAAATAATTTCGAAATGATGAATATTTAAAACACGAAAGAAGCAAGTTCAAATGCTAAACGATGATATGCAAATGATCGATTGACATTGATGACACCAATATTTGTAGCAAAAAAAATCAATTTAGAAGCGAACCAAAATCGTAAACAGAAATTACAACCCAAACATAGAAAGCGCGCTAAAACTGCTAACACAAAACATATGTCACATACAAATAGCCCGAGACCAACAACAAAGGAATTCAACAAAATTTCAATCGTATCAAACATCATGTAAACATAAAGAAAACCAATGGTCAAGTGAATATAAACAAACCATCATTTTATTGATCATTCAAACAAAAAAAAAGCAGTCTTTTACTGCACCAAACAAGATTTTTTTTGTTTTTGTTATGATCCATTTTGGTAATTTCAATGTTTAAGTTTGAATCTTACGAATTAAAAACGTAAAAATTAAAAAATAAAATACAACATCATATAAACAGACGATAGATGGCGATAAAATCATCATTTAAATTATAATTTTGAATTTTTTATAATCTTTAAAATTACAAAAATATAAGTGAACTTTTATCATTTGGCTAAGGTTCACTGATATTTTTTCACCTGTTTTTTTGGTAATTTGGCAGCAATATTCTAATAATCAAATAATCAAATACTTTGTAAATTACAATTCCCTACAACATTACTCAGCAATATTGAAACAAATTGAAAAATAAATGAATAAAAAAGTCAATTTTATTGATGAGAATTTTGTCTGGTATTTACAGGATTTTTTTTATTGATAAATTTTTGTGTGTGTTTGTGTTATAAAATACAAATTCAAAGAAAAAAAATCAAATTAAAAAATAAAAATAATAAAAGTTATTAGCAAAATTATTTAGATATTGTGTTGTGTATTGCTATTTTTTTGGGGGGTAAATGTGTAAGGATGTGTTATGAAATGATATTGTTATAAACATATATTACATATATCACATGAGAGAATGTTTACGACGTTTATGACCTTTTAAATTACCTTGTTGTGTTGTTGAATATGAACAGTGATCACATTTGTATGGTTTGTCACCTGAATGTATACGAGTATGTATTTGTAAAGAATATTTGTGTAATGTTGAATATTGACAATTATCACATTTGTATCTTTTATCACCTTTATGCATACGAATGTGTCTTTCTAAAGAAGATTTGTATTCAGTTGCAAATGGACAGTGATCACATTTGAATCGCTTATCACATGAATGTATGCGTTGATGTCGATCAGGCAAACAATCATCAACAGTATCATCATCATCATCTCCAATATTGCCATTAGTTTCGATTATCATATTCGAAGAATCTAAATCTTTATTCAGTAATGATGTATTTTTTACATTCGATTGATGATTATCATTCGAATCTTCATCATCATCATTATTTGTTGTAATTCTTGTTTGTTTTGATGATTCATCATTTGATTCTACATTGGTGAAATATTCTTCTTCATCATCATCATCATCGGGCAACGAAGTACTATTTGATAACAAATCCATTTGTTGTTGTTGTTGTTGCTCCAAATTATCATTATTGATTTGCTGATTTGTTTGGATTTCAATCAAATCAGATGAAGGATGTTGATGATGATGATGATGTTCGGTGATTTTATTGATTTTTACAGAATCCTTCAATTCAAAAAGCATCGTTTCCATTCGATCTAATCGTGATGATATTACTGATAATGTTGACATAATTTTTTCCTGATCGAATTGATTATTATCAATAGGTGATAATGTTGATGATGAAGAACCCATGATGAAGAAATCTAATTAGATTTGATTCTTTTAAAAAGTTGAAAAAAAATAATAATTTCGAAATGATGATTTTTATTATACACAAAAGAAACACGTACAAACACTAGTCGAAATAGTACAAACACTAAACAATGACAGTTAAATGATTGATTGACATTGATGACACCAACAACACTCAACAATCATAAACCCTTTTGTTAGCAATTGTTAAGAATTGAATAATGCGCATGATCAAAAGAATACATGTCAAATGCCATAAAAGTGATCATCAAGAACAATAAAACAAAACAAAAAATATACGTTATCAAAACATAAGATTAGCAACAACAACAACAACAACAAAAAGAGAAAGTTTTATGCTTATCACATTCTTGTATTAACTGTTTCAACTCTCAACAAACACCGTTCAATACCAAAAATCCCTGTCCATACAGTCAAACAAAAAGAGTGTACCAAAAAAAAATCTGATTTATCGCTCTTGATCATGCGTATAATTGAAAAATTTGTACAAAGAACGAAAAGAATTCGTTTCGGTTCGTGTATTGTATGGCTAAAATAATGTCCAGATTAAATCCACATTGAAAACAAAATTTATCAGAAAGAAAAATTGAAAATTTTTATTAACAACCATTAATGAGATAAATTTTCGCGCGTTTTTTGTTTGAAATTTTAAATTTTTTTNTCAAACATCATGTAAACATAAAGAAAACCAATGGTCAAGTGAATATAAACAAACCATCATTTTATTGATCATTCAAACAAAACAACAAAAAAAAGCAGTCTTTTACTGCACCAAACAAGAATTTTTTTTTGTTTTTGTTAAGATCCATTTTGGTAATTTCCATGTTTCAGTTTGAATCTTTTTTTTACATGAATTTTTTTTTTCAAATTTTCTCAAGAGCTAAATATCTAAACACAAAGGGTTCTACAAGATCAGATTGAAAATGTTTACAAATTAACCAAAAAAAACAACACATGTTTTTATTTTTTTTTTTTTAAATTTTTCTTCAATCTGACATGAATGAATGATTGTTTTTTTTTTGCAATTAAAATTGATTGATTGAAGTAAACATTTTTTTATAAAATAAAATAATCATTATAAAATTTAATATAAATAATTCAACATATTTGAATTTTGTTATAAAAAATATTTGTCCACAACTAATACCAAATTGATTTTCGGTCATTGTTTGTACGAAAAGATTTGTCTTAATCGTATCTCTTAATAATAAACGTGATAGAATAAATTTTTGATTATTACTGTTTGTAATTTGAAATTGTTGCTGTCTTGATAGCCAATTCATAAAAACATTACAACATTGTTGATTAATTTGTGGAAATTGTGCCACACGAGAATAAATACCATTTGTATAGATAAATGGTGATATTATAAACAAAACAACAATTATAATGTAAATATTAATTTCATTTTGTTTACTTAAAAATAAACTACAAAATATTATAGCCGATTTTGAAATGATTTCAATAATTAAGAATATATTTCGTACTGTTTTATTGATTATTGATAATTCATTATATAATTGTAAATAATTTGTATGAAAAATTTGCCAAAATAATTTTTGATTATTTGTTGATGATAATAAAAAACGACAACGTTTCAATGTTGATTTTAATTGTTTAAACATTTGTTTCATCTGGATTTTTAATAATTCAATAAAATACAGTAAATGTTTCATTGCACCAAATAATTGTCCAACTAAATATTCCATACGATAAAGTATATTTGAAAATATTATTATAAACGTTATCATTTCAAATAATGTTATTTCATTATTTTGATAATATAAATGTATACGATAAATAATCAAAATATTAAAATCAAATACCGAAATGAATATGATTAAATTTAATAATTTTGATGCAAGATTACCAATGGATATAAATTTTTTTAAATAATTATAATATTTACGTTCTAATTGTTCATCATCATATTGAATATATTTGATAAATAATTTATTTGCATCAAAACGATACCCGATAATATTACGAAATAATATTAACCATAAATAATCTAATAATAAATAAGCAATAATTAAATGTGATAAGATAAGATTCATTCTTTTCAGATGAAATTTCGTTTCCAATGCATTGATTGCATTCAATTCGATTGTATTCGGGTAAATTACTGTACGTATAATACCGATAATATTAATCCAACATATTGTTGTTATCCAAATTGCACGCCAATATGTATGAATATTCATTGGTATTCGATGATTTTCATAATCATTCAATGAATATTCTAAACGTATTATATAAAATTTAAAACATTCAAAAAATTCATTAATTTCAATGGAAATTTTTTGAAATTTCCATTGAAAAATTTTCCATTTAAAACATTTATCAATCATACTTGATATGATTGTTGTAATTAACGAACGAATATTGTCCATTTTGTGTGTTTTAGTTTTGATTTACAATAACAACGAACAAAAGAAAAAGGAAAAATTCTTATGTATGATGAGGAAAACTTGCGAAAAGAGAATTATGAAATCTGTTTTTATTTTTGTACAAAAATCGATTGATAATGTTTGTTTTTCCTGGCCCCCAAAAACCAGAAAAATTGCCATGGTAAAACCATTGATTTCGGTACATTCACATGATTTAAAAATACAGAACAAGAAGAAGAAAAAAAACAATTATGAATAATGTTATGAATAACCAACTAAAAAACTATGAAAAAAAAATCAAAACATTTATCAAATTTTTTTCAATGAAATTTTAAATTTTATTAATGTCAATAATGGATCGAAAAATATGAAAAAAAATGGAAAAAAATGAATGAAAGTTGAATGAAAGTGATGAATTGATTGGTGTTTCAGTGTTGATCGTTGATTTTTTTTCTTCTGGTCGATCACAGACAGATATTTTTCAAATCGATTATCGGTATTTTCTTAATGAATGAATTGTATTGAATTGAATTGAATCAACCACTTTTAACAACAACAATTTTTTCCAATGGTTTTGTTATCAATGATATTATAGCCGATGTAATTGTAATGACAGAAAAACCTAGCCATAATGGTGGATCTGGTGGTTTTAGTGTTTAATTAACTTATTTACAGTAACGTCCACTTAGTCTATAAACTTTATCGAAAACAGGTTTACGACTAATCTGTATACCGGTACGATTTTTATGCTGATAAAATGGTATATCAACAAATTTTTCAAATTCATATTTTTCCTCTACACAATCTGGTTGACATTCATTTGAACATTCTGTACGATAATTTGTAAATTGACATTTATTTATAACTGGACAAAAATAATCTTCATCCGTTAATAATGAACGACGATATAATAGACCACTACGTGGTAAACATTTACATTTTTCACGATATTTATTCATAACACATTTTGTAAAACAATCATCATGTGATTGTAATGCTTCACGATTACCTGTAAAATAATGTAACTTGATTAGTTTGTTTTTTTAAGTAAGGGTTAAAATTAGAAAACATTTACCTAAATCATATTTAAAACAATTAGTTTGATATGGTTTTTCCAATAAATATGATATTGTTTTTTGAAAATTTATAACATAAAAACGTGAAAATTGATATAATGAAATGGTTGGATAAAATTCTGGTACAGGTATCATATCGGATGGATGTAATGCAATACGTGCACGTAATTCTTTTTCAAATGGATGTGATGTACGTGAATGATTCAGTGCATGACTTATGTAGCTGTCAGAAAAATGGGAGAAAAAAACAAATTGATTGATTGATTACATTGAAATTCAGAAAATCGAAAATTCACTATACTTACTAAACTTTATTTGTACGACGTTCAAATGTTTTTGAACTAATAAATATTGATGTCATAAAATTATCAACAAAATGTTCTTCGGATTCATTTGATTTAATATCAAAATGTGAAAAATATGTAAAACAACGAAATTCACCATTTATTGTTTCAATAATATTTGTTACATTTTCACAATTATGTAATTTATAACCATATTTTGATGCTGGTTTTGAATCTAATAAACATTCTTCATGTTCACTATGTGAATATTTTTCCAAAATATCAATTAATTTTTCATGACGAAATATTTTTTCTTCAAAATATTTATGTAAATGTAATGCTAAATGAACGAAAGGGTTGAATGAAAAGGATCAAAAATCAGTTAATTAGTTTTTCAAAATAATGACAATTTCATTAGGTAAAAACGACAAACCTTCCAAATTAACACCGGTAATATTGATTAATTTTTTTGTACCAGGATTATTCCAAAAATTACTATTATTCCGACGTTTCATTTCATCATAAATTCTTTCAACATTTTCTTCATATTCAGGATATTTTTCAAATAATTTAAAATATGGTACAACATCTTGAAAACAAACTGTTGCACTTGGATAATGAAATTTATAATCTTTTGGATCTTCATTCGAAAATGATACGGTTGTTTTATAATCCCAATATTGATTTAATGCAATATTAAAATGATAACAAAAACCAATTACACTTATAATGAATATTATGAATAAATGTGGTCGGGTTCGTATAAAACGTTTCCATTTACGTTTAAATGATGATGATGATCCATCTTTATTCGTTTTATCAGTTGTTGATGATGGTGGTGGTGGTGGTGATTTAGATTTTTCCGGTAATTTACCATTAAGTTTATCATTATTAATTTCTTTTTGATTATTATTATCATCTGGATGATGATGAAAGCTTGTTTCTTCAGTTTTACTCATGATGTTTTTTAGATGATAAAAATCATTTAAAATTCAAAAAGATTTTCAAAAATTCAAATTAATTTCATTTGAAAAGTTAACCATCAATAGTTTGGATTAATGCGACGTATATAAACAGAAGAAAAGAAAAACCTTTTTCTTTTCTTTTGTTTTGATCGATTCAGTTGACGAAAAAAAAATCGAAAAAAAGGATTGACCAATCAGTTCAGCCAATGATGAACAAAATGAACGAAATAAAGGATGCACCGAATTCAATATGAATTTCAGAATGAATGAATGATTAATGAATTTTAAATTATTGAATGTAAACACCACCACTACCATCAAAACTTAATTTTTCTAAAAGAAACTTTCTCTTTCAAATTTGGTTTGTTTGTTTGCTTGAAACGCATCAAACAAACAAGAATAGCCACACCACCACAACAACCAGTTGATTTATTCCCTTACTTTCTACTTTGGCAATATTGCAATCATTATCGAGAAAAAAAAAGAAATATTGGAGGTTATTTTTGATGGAATCAAAATATAATGATGAACGTTTAGCATCTCATTTGATTTAATGATAATTTCGTTCTTTCTTCTTTCTTCTTTCGTTCATATCCTCACATATTATCATAATATTCGACATGTCCATTTTGTTTTGTTTCCACACGAAACATTCATTCAATTGCAGGCAGTCATTCATTTTTCCATTGATAAAGAATATTGCATCGTTTTTTCTTGAGAAGTTTGAAGCAATATAACTTAATTATTATTATCATCACGCATGATCTATTCATTGAATGAATGAATGAATGAAGTGAATGAATGAAGTGATGTTCAACAAGTTGAATTATCAAACAAGCCAACAAAATGATTGACAGAATAAAGGAGTAAAAATAAAACCGGGGTGGATTTCATTTGATAAGTGTGAAAAATCATTCAATTTTTTCTTTTGATTTCATAATTCATTTTGGAAACGAAGCGAAGCGAAAAGAAAATTCCAATGTTGTCAAAACCAAAATGAATTATGTTTCAATTCTGTTGGGTTTTTCCCAATGAGGGAAACAAAAAAAAAGAAGACATTTTTTTTGATTTGATTCAGATTTTCGCTTCGATTGATCGATTGATCAAATATTTGTTCAATGATTTTTTTTGGAAAGAAAATACCAAACGAAAAAACCTTGATCAAAAGTCTCCTAAGTGTAATGCGAATTTGATAATTTATCATTTCTTTTTTCGGTTGTTGTCCAGTAGTAGATTTTCTTAATTTCGCCAATTTTTTGTTCACAGTTGTTGTTAATCCCACTAATTATTTTTAATTATAATTTAATTAAAAAACAACAACCACAACAACAACCAACCACAACTGACGATTGAAAAATGATTTGCATCCTTTTTCATCATCATCGTTTCAACAAAAACGACCACCAAGTAATTAGAAATGATGATGATAATGATGTTGACGATTAATTGAATGAAATGATAATATCAGTTTGTTTGTGTTTGCGGAAAGAGGTAAATGGGAAAACCTGTTTTTCGCTTTCAATATTATACCTGGTATGGCTGTTTGTTTGTGAATGGTGTGGTAACGTAATTTATGGATGTCACGAAAAAAAAATTCTTTGAAAATTAATATCCAAAATTTAGCCAAAAAAAAGAAGAAATTATCAAGATAAGTAAATAAGTAAATAATTTGCAAATGAAAATAGAAAATCCTTTTTATTAAAATTATAATAGGACGGGAGAAAGTTTCCAGAAATCTTTTGTTATTATTTTTTTTCCAGACATTTTTTTTTTTGTTTTTTTTTGGCACATTTAATTCCGGAAAATATTTTTTTAGCTAAATAATTAATATATAAAAAAAAACAAAACAAAATTATTTAATAAAAATGTTTACGAAATGAATTATATAACATTTTGATGATGATGATGATGATAAAGATGATGAAGATGATGATCAACAGATGTCAAAAGAAGAAGAAGAAAAAAATCGTGGATGAATAAAGCGAGGAAGAGGGGAACCAAAAAGGTGAGAAAATCAATGTGTGAAGACAATACAAACGAAGGAAAAATCCATTCTTGATTGGATATTTTTCGGTTCGTTTCGTGTTAAAGTTGTCTTAATCCGTTTTGTTTTGTTTTTTCGTTTTTCGTTTCACGTGATCAAGTAGTTGAATAGGAAAAATCCTTTAAAAAAAGATGTGAATTAAATCATTTCAAACATTGATTGATTGAATGTGTGATACAAGCAATGTTTTACAAACGAAAAATAATTTATCAATAATTTATATGCGAATAGCAAAACGAAAAAAGAGAAAATTGATTGAATCAGGAAATGTTTAAGCATCATTTACATTTTTTTTTTATTTTGATCATTTTTTTCGGCTGTTTTTGTTGTTGTTGTTGTTGTTGATTGCGAAAGAAAAACAACAACAACAACAACATTGATGCGGATGATGATGCTAATCATCTATTCATTTTGTAAATAAATATTTTTGATACTTCTGGTTTTTGTTGTTGTTGTTGTTGTTTGGGTGGTTGTTGTTGTTGTTGTTGTTGTAGGCTATCAACAATATTTCTTTTTTTCATTTGAGATTTTTTTCCCTTTTTCTTTTTCGATAATAATCGATTATGTTTAGATTTGGATGATTTTGTTGATTTGGATTTAGTTTTGGATTTAGATTTGGATTTGGATTTAGTTATTTTTAATAATTTTGGACTAGTTATGACAACTTTGTCATCGATAAGATAATTATTATTAGTATTTGGATGGACATTACTTGCGGCAAAATCTAGATCATTATCAACATTTATAACCGGATAAAATTGTTGTGGCTGTTGCTGTTGTTGTTGTTGTTGTTGAGGATGATGATGCGATCGTGGATGTCGTCGACGTTTTTTCGATTTATTCATCATCATCAATGGTGAACGACGTCGTTTTGCAGCAGCAGCAGCAGCACGATATTCTGGTCGTGCAGCTTGTGCTTTTTCAATATCAGCATCGGTCAAAAAATCAGCCGTTTTATCACCAATACGTTCATTTAGATAGAAAAAATCGGATGATGCTTCACAAGGTATTGCATCTGATTCATCTTTACATGCAAATTTTGATTGATCAAATATTTGATCTTTACCACATGCCATTGTTGTTTGTGCATATTTTGTCTATATTGAGAGAAACGAACATAAAACATATTTGAATATTAATCCGATTATCAAACAAATCAATCAATCAATCAATCAATAACAAAAAAAGGTGAACATTTGATGAAAAAAATTCACACATGCTTGATGCATTATTCTTTACTTACATTTGGTGATCCTTTTTTCGAATTAAACGAATTACATTGATGATAGATTTTACAACTTTAAACAAAAGAAGCAAGCAAAAAAAAGCAATTCAAGAAAGGATTATTAATAACAAACAAGAAAAAAAAAACCTTCACCAATCAAATCTGGTGATGAATGTTGAAATTTGATTGATTTTTTTTCTTTCAATAAAGTAAACTTACTCATTATCAACATCAGCAAAATAACCTTCAGCTTCACATTTAAATGTACGTTTAAGATTACCTAATAATCCGGTTTGTTTTAATGTACCGGCTGGTAGATCATAGGCACCGGCATTTGTATGCTTTATGTATTTAATCGATGATCAAAATGATGATGAAGATGATGATTATAAATGTCGTCAACCCGTCATAAATGATGTAATAAATTTTTTTAAAAGCGATGTTCCGAAAACAATTTATTTAATGACCATTGGTGATGATTTTGAAAAAAAAGTGTGAGAAAAAAAAGGGTTAAAAAAAGGGGAAAAAAATAAAGATGATTAATAGTGATACAATGTGAATTTTGATGATAATGATAATGATGATGATGATTTAAAATTCATATTAAGAAAATTATCAATTTGAAAATGATGATGATGATGATTGAATCGATTAATCGATTGATTTATTACCTTGATCAATGAAAATAAAGCCAATAAAATTATTGTAATTGCTTTAATCGCTGATGATGATAATGATGTTTTCATCGTTGTTGTCGTCGTCGTCGTCGTCGATTTGGTCAATAACAACAACATAATTAATTTGTTTTGCTTTGGTTACACTCAAAATAACGAAAATATATTTACGAAAAAAAAAATTTCACAAAAAATCAATCACCAAAATGCTGAAAAAAATCATATCATCACATATTTGATGCCAGAAACAAATTTTTCAAATAAATCTTTTCTCTGGATCATCATTGATGTGTCATACGGTAAATTAATTTAAATTTTCATTCACAAAAAAATGTTTTATTTTGATTTTTCTTCGTAAATTTTGAGTAAATAAATCACACACACTGAAACAAACACAGTGATAACAGCAAAAATGAAAAAAGGAAAAATCTAAATCAATCACCGAAAAAAAAATGAAAACATCGGCTTTAAATATGGCGCCCGAAGTAAAGATATTTGATTGGATTGAATGTGTGATGTGTGATGTGATGTAATGATGATAAAGACAAAATGGGAAACCTTTTTTTTCATTTGTAAGTTCACAACCACCAACAACATCACATCATATTACATTCAACAAGTAACGTTATCCGCAGTAATTTTCCTATTTTTTTTCTTTCTTCATTTGTAAAACAAAATAGGAAACAGAAACAAAATAATATTGAAAGAGAAAACTTTTTTGGGAATGTCGTTTGTTTGTAGCAGAAAAAATTGATGGAAATTTTCCAGAAAAAAAAATTCGGTCAGAAAATCATCAGCTTATGATGAATTCATTTGAGTGAAAGTAAAAAAATGAAAGTAAGTAAGTAAAAAAATCCCTTTTTTTAAATAGTTTCTTTTGACCAATTATTTGTGTATGGCCCTCAATGAAACAAACCGAAATAGATAAGTTTCTCTGTTTGTTTGTTAAGTTTTTACAAATGATAATGATGTTGATAGACTCCTTGTTTTTCTTTTTCACTGACTGACTAACTTATGATTAATTATCCTTTAATGTTACAATGTTTGTTTGGCCACGACCAAAATTCAAACATCATCATCATCATCATCATGATTATCATTTGTTTCAAATTTGTTTGTTTGTTTGGCGCAAATACAAACAATTATGGTCCACTTGAAATGAAATGTCCACCACCATCACACAACGACGACGACGATGTGGCAATAACCACAATGACAATGAACAAAGACAATGATGATGATGATAATGATGATGAATATCAATCAATCAATCAATCAATCAGTGTGAACAACGAGAAAAAACAAACAATGAAATCAAATGAAACATAGCAACAGCAAACTCTCTCACACAAGCGCACAGACATTAATTGAAATCATTCTGCATTCATATATGTCTCCTTTAGGCATCTTCATCAATTCAATTTATCATTAGAAAAACTAAATTCAAATAAGAATTTTTAATAATGAAAAAAAAATTTCGATGCAATAATAATTGATGATGATTGTTTTCTCCCTCCAAACAGCGATTGACATTGATCAGAAAGAAACAAAAAACAAAAAAATGAAATTAAATCTGGAAAATCAAAAATCAATGAATTTCTGGAATGTTTCTTCTGTTTTTGGAAATATTTCTATTCAATATTCATCAAAAGCCTTTTTCTTTTCCCCTCGCACAAACATTATTTAAAAAGATATTAATATTAATATCCTGAATATGATGATGTTAATAATAATAATGGATCCTGTTTATAATGAAGAAGAAGGAAAAAGGTAAAAATCCTTTTATTATTAAACGAAAAACACCTTGAATTTGTTTATTTATCTATCGTTTTATCTCTGTTGGATATGTATGTTTATACAAATGTGGTTTTTGTTTTCTGCTTGCGGTGTCTATTTCCAAAAAACCACAAAATATCTAAAGATTCGCCTCTAATTTTTTTCCCTCCATTTAAAACACACAGGGAGGATATCATTGTGTATTATGAATTCGTAAATGTTGATGAAAACGATGATTTTTCATTCATTCATTAAATCAATATTCAATATCAATCAATAACAATTTTCGTTTGGCACCAAGTCAAATTATAGTGTGTGTGTTTTGTTTTTGTTTTTGATGCATAAAATTAACAATGTTTTTTTTTCGTTCCTGGATCCAGGAAATCAACAGCAAAAAAAAAATAAAAATCCTAATCTCATTCATATTCCGTGAATATTTTGATTCGTCCATCGATCAATCAATCAATCAATCAATCGATTAATCAATGGTTTCAACTGTTGAATAACATTCAAGTGGTGACCAGTAGCATTTTTACACCATTTTTTTTTTCACACAAAGATTTAAATTAAAAAACAAAGCATTGTTTTCGCTAATCATAATCGTCACATAATTTTTAATTAGTTTACAAGCACGAAATTGTATCAACTTAATCATCGATCGATCGATTTTGTTGGATACAATCATTTTTCCTGTCCTGGCTTTCATCAAAATTTTTTCATATTTTTCCTCTCTCTCTCTCTCTCTCTCTTGCATTGATTAATAATTAATTGGGATTTGGCGACTAAATCAAAAAGAAAAAAAATGGATTAAACATTTGATTGATTGATTGATTGATCGATCGATCGGATGACCAAATCACAAAAGAGAAAATGAAAGTGAAAAATTGTCTTTTTTTTTGATAATTTGTAACAGTTTTTTCGGTCGTTACATTTTTTGAATAAATACACAGAGGAAATTGTTGTTTTTTTCCACTACATTGATGTTATATGTGGGATTTTTTATTATAATTTCTTTTAATTAGAAGCAAAATTATCATTTCATTAAAAAAATATTTCCAAAATAAAGAATCCATATTGGTGTTTTTTTGCAGAAAAATGTTTCCCATCAAGATGTTTCCATTTGTCATGTTTTAATGAATGTTAGCATTTTTGGCAATTTTTTGTACAACTTCTTCTTGTACTGGACGAATTTCCTGTACAATTCGTCGATATGGTTGAATAATTTCACGTACTTCTTGTATAACTGGCCTAACAATTTCATGTACTAAACGATGTGGTTCTTCTTCCGAACGCGATAATTGAAGTTCTGGTTTTGGTGCTGGAACATGTGTATGTTGTACATTCAATGGTGCTGATTGTGAACGATAATGTACATTAACTTCTTGTGCAGGTGATTGTACTAACAGTGGTCGATTTAAAAATTGATTTTGTAATGTACCAGCATTAGCTTGTAATGCTTGTTCAGCATTTAATGGTGCAACCATAACCAATGCCATTTGACCATCTTGTATACCATGTTGTACTAATAATTGATGTAATGTAATTGAATGTGGATCCTGTTGTAAATAATTTGTTGGTGTTAATGGTTGCGATAATGCCAATGGCAATAACATTAACAATATTGCATATAACTTTATCAACAACAAAAAAAAACGGGAAAAAAATAAATCAAATTAGAATAACCGGATACTCAAAGGGGATAAACTAAAAAATTGGCAAACACATACCATATTCATGATTGATTCAGCCAGAAAAATTATTCAAAAAACAAACCAAAGCAAAACAAGCAAAACAAAACAGCACAGCACAAACAACAAACAACACAAAATTCCCAAAAAACACACCAAAATGAAATGATTCCAAATCGACAAAAATGTTCTGATATTTTATATTCCCATTTTTTACATCAGAAAAAAAAATTTTTGCTTCCAAAACGAGAAGCAAAAATAAAATAAAACAAATTCAATGCCTCTGTGTATTCATTACATACCACCACCACCACTACGGCAAAGACACGCCAAAACGCATTCCATTTTCATTTTCATTTGAAAAATCACATTCATTTTCACCTTTAAATGATACTTGTGTTTGTTTTAAATAAGAATACAACAACAAAAAACAAAATGGTGGCATTCCATATTCATTAATTATTCGCTCGTTCGTTCTATATATTCATCATCATCAACATCTTAATCACACATTGTCGTCATTCATTTATCAAAATCCAATGAATGCTTTTTTTATTTATCATTAACATTATCATTGAATGTAAGAAAAGTAATAGTAATAATAATAATGAATGCCTTGTTGTTGGAACAAGTTGTTTCAACATTTTTCAATGATAATAATAGCTTGATTAATCGAAATCCAAAATCAAAAATCAAAATCAAAATCAAAATCAAAAAATAAATAATGGATTGCAACAACAACAGGTATAAATTCATTTGATGATCCATTTCTTCTTGTTATTACTATTTTTTACATGTACATTTTTTCGCTATCTTTTTGTGCGTTTTTTCATTATCACATACACATTTGTATTATCGCTTGGTTCCAAATCATCATTCAAATATTAATCCGATCAAAACAAAATGAAACAAAAAAAAATCATTGAAGAAACAAAAAAAAAGGTGGCGTTGTTAGTGGCCACTTGTCCCTCGTATTGATTGATATGATAATCGTCGAATGATAAATATTTGCTCTGATTTATTTATTCGTTGTTTTTGCTTCCAAAAGATTTTTTTTGCTAATTGAAAATTCATTCATTATCATTTTTTTGGTTTTTTCCCCGTTTGGAACAAGAGAAAAGGGGAGAGAAGAAAAAAAAACAAAAAAGAATTATCAAAATGAAAACGTGTTTTTTTAAAACATCGGCAATGAATCGATATAAAAGAAACAAAAAAAAGAAAAAAAAAGATTAAAATCAATTTTATTGATTTTTGAATTCGAGGCAATTGAATTCATTCGCATCATCATCGTTCAATCCATAACCTTGGTGGAAAACAATATTTTTTTTTTCGCAGCCATTTTAACCACAACAGTCGGGTATATATTTCAGAATTTCAACTTTCGTTTCTGCATCTTTTGTTATGTAATCGAATGAATGTAATTGAAATTCCCAGAGAAAAACTGTTTATAAATTTTTATCTAAATTGAAAAAGAAAATATTAATTACAAAAAAATCTATCTATTTATTTTGTAATTCAAGGAAATTTACTTGTGTGAATAATAATAATAATAAATAAATAATTTAGTAATCAACGGATTAATCACTTCCGATTAGAGGTTTTTTCTATTTCAGATCTACGAATAGCNATGAATGATTTTTTTATTTATCATTAACATTATCATTGAATGTAAGAAAAGTAATAGTAATAATAATAATGAATGCCTTGTTGTTGGAACAAGTTGTTTCAACATTTTTCAATGATAATAATAGCTTGATTAATCGAAATCCAAAATCAAAAATCAAAAAAAAAATAATGGATTGCAACAACAACAACAGGTATAAATTCATTTGATGATCCATTTCTTCTTGTTTCGATTCAAAAGTTATTATTTTTTACATGTACATTTTTTCGCTATCTTTGTGCGTTTTTTCATTATCACATTTGTATTATCGCTTATAGGATTTAAAAAAAAAATGGTTCCAAATCATCATTCAAATATGGAGATCCGATCAAAACAAAAACGAAAAAAAAATCATTGAAGAAAAAAGGTGGCGTTGTTAGTGGCCATACAATGCACTTGTCCCTCGTCGCTATTGATTGATATGATAATCATCGAATGATAAATATTTGCTCTGATTTATTTATTCGTTGTTGTTGTTTTTGTTTTTGCTAATTGAAAATCCATTCATTATCATTTTTGGTTTTTCCCCCGTTTGGAACAAGAGAAAGAAAGGAGAAAAAACATAAAAGAATTATCCAAAAAAAAGAAAACGTGTTTTTTAAACATCGGCAATGAATCGATATAAAAGATTGAAATCAATTTTATTGATTTTGAATTCGAGGCGATTGAATTCATCCAAATTCATTCGCATCATCCAATCCAATCCATAACCTTGGTGGAAAACAATATTTTTTTCGCAGCCATTTTAACCACAGCTCATATAGCCGGGTATATTTAGAGTTTTAACTGTCTTTCTGCATGTTTGTTATGTAATCACAAAATTGAAATTCCCAGAGAAAAACTGCGATAAAAATTTTTATCTAAATTGAAAAAATATTAATTACAAAAATCTATCTATTTATTTTGTAATTCAAGGAAATTTACTTGTGTGAATAATAATAA